TTGGTTTGGTTTGGTGGTTTTTTTTGTTTTCTGTTTGTTTTTTTTTCTCCTTCTCGGACCCAGGTCAGGGTAGTCTGCACAGCCGATTAAAGACACACCTAGAAATTGTTTCACCGGGATCACTTTGAAGAATGTCTTCTCTAAATCCTGCTTTCATTTGATATTTGGCATCTCATAGTGAATTGTGATTCAAAGTATTTCAGACTCATTTGTCTATTTCTTTTTTCTCCCCTAAGCTTTTAATTTTCCTTTTTCCCTTCTGTTCTGTAACACACACCCTATAAAAACAACAGGGGCAGCTGAATGCCTAACCTGACAACAAACCTTCTTGCCCTCTACTTTACTCTTTTCATTGTAAAGGCTGTAATGGAGATAACAAGGGAGATTAATTAATATAATTATACACGTATGTGTGTATAATAGCATCCTTCAAAATTTTCCTTGCAAGCTGAAACTAGCGTGTTCTGTACATGGTATGCTTGGTTTTATAACTAAGTCGTGATGCCAGGCACACTGGGGTCTTTGGAAAGTCTTCCATAATGGTTCAGGCCTTTTACTAGTCGTTACAGGCAGAAAACCGTTCGATTTACACCCCTATGGTGGGTGTCAGTATGTTTCAGCCTTGGCTTGTCAAGCCCCCTTTTTGCTGTGTCTTCTAGATTTGAGTGTGGAATTGTCAGTGTGCCTCAGGACTGATCTGCAGCTTTCCCTTCTCTTCCCCCTGAAATTTGCAGGGCAACAGTTTGCAGCAAGACTGCATTCAGGCTTCTGTATGAAAGTTTGACTGAGACACATAAATGATCCTTGTTAAGAACTTGTTTAGAACAGTTTTGTGTCATTTATGTCCTAATGTCTTGCAGCAGTTGTATTAGGGATGTATGGAGTCATTTCTTTGTGTACATCTAATTATGTTGGTGTTGGAGGGGAGCTCAGTAACTGTTTTGCTTGTTTGCGAAAGCCACAAGATTTAGTATTTTTATTCCAGACTTCAACAGCTTTATCAATCGGACCAACACCTGTGGAGAGCTGCGTTCTGCTCATGTGGGACAAGAGGTCACACTGTACGGATGGGTTCAGTATCGAAGGTAAATGCAAACCAAGGTGAAAATGGAGATGGGTATTTGCTGCATCCAATATATGCTCTTGGCCTGGATTCAGACACTTTTTTTGATGGTTCAGGTTATCTTTTCTTATCCTGCAGTAGTCACTTCTGAAGTGAGTGAAACGGTTGAGAACCATGCCGGATCAGTATTTAAAATTTCAGAGATTCATACTGATGCTAATTGATCCTCATTACAACATTAAAGCAGTTAAATATTATTACTCTTGTTGTGTAGGAGAGGAAACAGCTGAAGGCATATCTATAACAATTCTGACAGCTGTGAGCAAGTAACTTCTTTTATACAGAGTCCTTAAATTTTAAGCATACGATGTTGTTTGTCTTTTCAACTATGGCATCTAATGATGCATATTTAAAGTATGCATGCTTTACTTAAAAAGGAAATATTAAGAAAAAGGTGGTAAGCAGAGGATGAAATGTTAATTCCAATAGTTTGCTATAGGTGATGTGATACAATCACTCCTAATGGATCTGAACGCTGTAAATGTCGGGTGAAAAGCATGTGTGCGTACAGCATGGACGATACTCCAAAATGTTCTGTTCCTGGGTATGTGCTTTTAAAATGGAGATAGGTTCTGTGGCTTTGATTAAATTAATTTGTACCAAAAGTTGAATTTTTTGCATTTTACAGTCCAGAGAGGCTGATTTTTGTCCAGCATTGTTCTGCATGGATTTTTTTTTTTTTGTCAGGAGATCCTGAGCATCTCACTTTTGAGCAGTCATGGATGGAGTTCCAGGAAACAGAGTTAGGATTATTGCAATGTGATTGTTGTGCTCTTGCTTTTAAAGACAACGAGAGCATGTTTGATTTGACAGCTTCTTGGTGGATTAAGTACAATGGTAGCTGTCTCTAGTGCAGCTGAAGAGATCAAGATTTATGATTCTGAGTCTAGAAGTGTGGATTGTTCATGTGAAACTTTTTATGGGACCAGTGTTCTCCTTGTTTTGTGGTTGGGCTTTTTTTTTTTTTGTATTCATGTGAACTTTAGTTTTATTGCTCATCTAAATGTGTGTATCTGAATGATGTTTCTAAGCAGGAAATTGCACGTGTTCATAATCCCTGCTCTACATGGATTAATGTTCAAATTAAAATCCTGCCTCTCCTGGTTATTTTCATGTTGTTTGTCTATGGCTGGGCAAAATATGAAACAAATTTTTCAGATTAGATTCGGATGTGGGAAAAGTATCTGTACATACGTTACTTAGAAGTGCTTTGAGATTAGTCACCAGGTACAGAAAGTAGCTAGTTGCTATGTGCTTGGCTTAAAAAGCAGCAGACTACTGAATTTTGGAAAAACATGTTCTTCCTTTTATCTTTTTCTTGGTTCAGACAAGACCTGTTTCTGGTTTTGAGGGATTTCCAGGGCCTGACCCAGATCCTCATTCCACAGGATGAGGTAAGGACTACCAAAAAATTAGTCTGGTTTTTTTTGTGTTTTTGTTTTTGTTTTTTTTTTTTTTTCTTCTCTCTTTGGTAGCTTGCATCCAGCAGACATGGAGAGCAGAGTGAGGTACTTTACTTGGGAGTCAGAGCACTCAGTCTGACAGACTTAAGCGTTATGAGAGCCTGATCGGACCCTGCAACAGAAATGTAAATGCTGTTTCCTCTGGGTTATGGAGGAGCGATCCCAGATTCAAATGGACCTTTAAGAAATGATGCCCCGGTGCATTTATCCTGTTCTTTGGATTTCTGTGAGACATTGTCATCTTCTTGCAGGCACATTCCCATGTGAAGAAGCTCTTGTCTAATGTCCCAGTGGAGTCTGTTGTGCGAGTGACTGGAATTGTGTCCCCTCGGCCCCCAGGGCAGGAGAATCCGGTGAGGATGTTGGGGTTTCTCAGGGGTTTTATTCCTTGTGAAAAAGAGCACTGGACAGTGGGAGTATGGTGGTTTTTGTGTTACAGCTTTGCCATGGGGTCTGGATGTGTCACAGCCTATCCTTGGATAACATGAAGTGAAACAACTGCTACGACATAGAACTTAGGAGAACCTCAAAGCACATTAGACACCCACAAATTAAATTGTATCCCAGCCTTTTGAAAGGATAATGGTGAGCTTTTTCAGGCTTTCAAAGTGTAGTTGAGATTACTTATTTTCAAGAAAAAGAAATTTTGTCATTGTGAGTTCCACAGCATGCGATGACCTGTTTCTCACTCAGAATAGATTTTGCTGCTCTCATGATAGAGGAAACAGAGGCTGAATAATTTGGTAATGCTGTGCATTCCTCAGCTGTCACTGTAATCAGCTGTAGATTGATCTGTCAGGATTGTATATATCCCAGCACTGGCAGGCCTAAAGAGAATTTTATGATCATATTTTTTTTGCTCCGACCAATTACATATGTCCATAAAGAATGAAGGCTTCAAGCAGTGCTTCTATTCCTTTTAATCATTTATCATTTTGTTGGGAGGTTGTATATACTTTCCCCTGGTAAATGGAGGAAGTTCTGTAGGTTCAGATGAACTTTGATGTGGCACAGTGCTAAGTTGGGGAAGCTGTCTCTTCTCCCGTGGGATCTAAGAAAAGAAGACTAGTTCTGAGAACTGGAAGTTCTGGGAAGTTCCTCACAAGTTGCCTTTTTTGACTTGTATTAAGGACCGATGGTGATGCTGCTAATACACAACTGAAATGTATACTGCATGGTTTTGTTGAATCTACCAGAACTAGTAATTTTGTTCAAGTGCATGTGCCCTAGAAGGGTCTGTGCCTGACTGTTCCTCTGCTCAGCACGGCTTTCAAGGAGAAGGCAAAGGAAAAGTAATTGTATTTCTGGTAGAGATCAATATACTACTGGGAAAGAGCATGCCACTTTTGGCGAGATGACTTGTGTTTTTCTGAACAGAAGGGAAATCTTGGAGAAATCTGTCCTTGAGAGAAGTTCTCTGAGTTATACTGTGTTAGAAGGCAGGGAGGATAATCACATGGGTTTCTTTTCCTCACCCTGACCATCTGTGAAATGCCCGTGTCCAATTGTTTTCCCTAAGTTTTGTAATTAATTTTTTTCTTGCCTTTTTGCTACAGAAAATGCCAACAGGGGATATCGAAGTGAAGGCGGAGACTGCAGAGATCTTAAACTCCTGCAAGAAGCTACCTTTTGAAATCAAGGATTTTATCAAGGTGTCTGTGTTTTGTTTTGGTTTGTTTTTTCTTTTTGTTTGTTTGTTTTTTTAACCAAAGTGCTATCTTTTCTGTAAATTGTGAATTTGGCCAGGGTGATGGCAAGACATCTGAGAGCTTTGTCTGGTTCTCCCAGCTCTGCTTTTGGGGAAGGATGATATTTAAAATAGGGGTGCTACTTGTTAGTTGTGTGGATGTATTTCTAATTAGAGTTCAGCAGAAAATAAGGCTTGAATGATTACAGTGCACAGTGTTTTCAAATATCGCTGCAAGAACAGATGGTAAAGGGAAGAGTGAAAGAAATCAGGCTATGCTACCTTTTTTGAGAGTGTGAAACAGAACCTGTGAATGCACTGCTGTGTTTTAAGGCAAGGGTGCTTAGTCTTATTTGGACAAGTAGCTAGTCAGTAAGTACAGAGTCTTACAAGAGGTTAGTTTTAGTGCAGGCTCCATGGTGTAGGAGAGGCGTTACTGTTAATTGAAGATATTCTCTGTTCCATTGAGACTGTGACTGATAAATAGGTGTTGGAATTGGGAGAACTGGGACCTGTTTCTTCCGTGTTACAGGTCCTGGGCAATTCCCATCATCTGCACTACTTTAGTTTCCTCATCTGTAGTAACGATGTTGTTCCTTTAGGTCTATGTGTGGTACCACTCCTCTGCTTAAAAATAGCAAGGAGGATTGCTGCAGTCTGTTGCAGTGTGCTGAGAATGAGGGCTGAAATCCTGAGCTTTGAGGTAGCTCTTATCACAGTTTGTTTTTTAAGTGATTTTCATGGCTGGAAGCACTCTAAGTGGCTGATGTTTGTGTAGGTTGTGGGTTGTGGCAATAGAGCAGCATTCTTTTTTAGCTTCCCCTTTTTGTCCTGCGGCTTTAGGAGCAGCTTCATTGGACATGCAATTTGAATTTTGTCTCTTAATCCTGATCATATCTTATCTCCAGAAATCAGAGGCTTTACGGATGCAGTATCGCTACTTGGACTTGCGTAGCTTCCAATTGCAGTATAACCTGCGGCTGAGATCACAGATAGTGATGAAGATGCGTGACTACCTGTGTAACCTTCATGGTAAGAAAAGGGCTTGAAGAACAGTGTGCTGCAAACAACATTTTAGCCCTCCCTTCTGTTTTCTGTTGGTGGGAGAGATTGCCAATCAACTTGCTACTCCAAACTGGTCCCACTTATAAGGACATGTCTGCTTGCAGTGGGGTCTTTAGAGGGATGTTGGGCAGGCCTGAAGAACAAAGTATGTTGAAATCTCCTAGCATTCTACAAACCAGTTGTTTCAAATGAGCTATATCCAGAAAATTAAGTAAGAAAAGGCCTTTTGCAGGTCATTTCCCTCTTTTGATCACCCAACTGGAGATATGTCAAAGAGGTGGATTTCTTACAGGGCTTTTGCTTATCCTAAAATTAGGAATTACTTTTTGGAAAAGCAAAGCCTAGTTCAAAATAGATAGAGAAGTAATTTTTCAGCCTAAATGGAGTCCTCTGTCATCATCAGTTCTGGCAGGACATCACGGTAGCTCGGAGCCTTTAAATCTGTTGTTACACAAGTTGTTCTTAGAAGCAGTAAAATCTGTAGATTTTGGAGACACTACACGGTGTGCTAGACTACCTGTTCTGCTGACTAACCCTACTCTAGCTTATTTTCTGTCATACTAGTTCTTCCTGCTCTCAGCATATTCTGTATCTGAAGCATGTGTTTGTTCCTCAGGGTTTGTGGATGTAGAAACTCCAACACTCTTTAAAAGAACCCCAGGGGTATGTATTCTGTTAGTAATGCATTTTAGCCTCCTGTAATTGCATCAGCAGTTTGTGGTTGAATTGCTGTCAGTTGCCACTCAGCCTTCACTGCTGTTCTCTCACTGAATAACAGCTTGTGCAAATTTCTGATACGTTTCCTTTTAAAAGCAGAGGGAGTGAAAGGAAAGAGGTGATATCTTGGGTCTGCTTTTTGAACCTTCAGAGGAATAAAGTTCTGTCTTGTAAAGCACATGTTGAATGCAAGACCTGTCCTGGGACAGACAGATTATAAAGCCAAAAAACTTCCTCTGAACACTGTTTGCCCAGCACTTATCTCTTAACTGGTGGGTTACTGCAGTGGCACTACTCAAGTAATTTTAATTTGAGTTTATATTCCTTTCTTTCATTTCAAAAATAGTCACAAAGAAGAGGGCTGTAGCCCAGGAGTTGTTGATGCAGCTAACACATGGAGTTCTTGCATTTAAACCCCTGCCTTGGATGGAGTACTGTTGTGCATAAGTCTTGCAGAGCAGAAGGTGGAGAATCCTCCTTTGGGATATTTTGGAACAAGCTGGTTTACAGATTTTTTTAAGTGTAATGTACAAACAGCCATTTCCTTGCTAAGGGGATTTCATAATGGCGAAAGTAGGTCCTTTCTTCTTGTGCTTCTAGTCTGTGCTCTCTGCCAGGAGCTGAGGCCACTTATTTGCTGAAATGTATAAGCTTTTCTTTCTGACACTAGGGAGCAAAAGAATTCCTTGTGCCCTCGAGGGAAGCGGGCAAGTTCTACTGTCTGCCACAGAGTCCTCAGCAGTTCAAGCAGCTCCTTATGGTTGGAGGCCTGGACAGGTAAGAGTTTCTTGGATTCCTGCTCTCTACATGTCCTGTCCACGGTTTGCTTGCTTTGATCTGTGTGGTTTTAGATACTTTTGCAAAAGCTTATTGCCAAAGATTCTGTGTTTTGAAGAGGGATCTTTAAATATTTGTGAGTTTTCAGCTAGGCCCTTTGCCCCCCAACAGTAATGCCTCCCAGTAAGAGGAAATGTGTGCTGTTTGAAGGCTGATATCTTCAATGTTATTTTAAATGGAAACCTGATCTGAAGCACAGTCTGCCTGAATGGCAGAAAATCTAGTGTGTGATAAAAGCCTCTCCAAGAGTAACCTATAGAACTAACTGAGATGAGGCTGGGCAGCTGAGCATGACTGAGACAAAGCATGTTCTCAGGGTGCACGAGTACAAAACTTTTAATTTGGCTTGTTTCTCCAAAAAAAAAAAAAAATCAAAAGAGAGGGATACAGTTGTTCATACGGTGAACTATAGGCCAGGCCTTGACCATGAGTGAGTTTTACATGGCTGCTTGGAGTCCAGGGTTGGAGCAGAAAGTGGGAAAAGGGGTTGCGTATGTCCCTGTTGGGACACAGCTCGCCTGGCAGCCTCCACATGCCTCTGGAAGATGTAGTTGGAGGTGGATACAGCTGCTGATGCAGTTACTTCCACTCAAAATTCCATGCTTTTGAGGGGATGGGAGCAACTAGGGCTATGATAATCTGTTGCAAAGGGGACAGAGCTCTCTCTTTTTTCCTTTTTTTTTTTTTTATGTTTGATTCTGTTGCCACAATTTAATTTAGGGTACTTCAAATTGTTGTCTAAGTAAAAGTACTATTGCAGGTACTTTCAGGTTGCTCGCTGCTTCCGAGATGAAGGTTCACGGCCTGACAGGCAGCCTGAATTCACTCAGGTAACCAGCTTGCACTGCCTTTCGCCCTCCTCCACCTGAATAGCTTGTAGCTGTTTTCCTTTCTGCAGGTTTAGTTTCTGCCTGTACCATGTTGTTTGCTGCATGTTTCACAGACGCAGCCCTTTGAAGTTAGTATGGGACATGCACAGAGTGGTCCCTGTCCTTGGGTGACTGCGCAGTCCCAGGTGCTGTGGATGTGGGAATTGTGTTGCAGCAGTGATTGTGCTTGATGATGCAATCTCCTGTCCTGCTGGGTCAGGCATCCCATTCCTCAGCCTTGAGATCCTAGGCAGAGTTAGCCTGGTTCATTCAAGGCTTCTCGTTCTGTCCTTGTCATCATTACCTCATCCAGTTCTCTGAGGAGGTTGTCGCCTGAGTCATCAGGCTGTAGAGAGATCGTAAGCATGTCCTCAGTCTAATGCAGTCATGCTGTGATTTCATGTAGTATATTGGGTTTTTTTATGCTGGCTTTATAGTCAAGAGCTTCTGCAAGTAGCAGTGCAAAGGCAAAACCTGTAGCTAATGTGGAACGCCCCCTCTTGTTTTCTGTTTTAAGATAGATATAGAGATGTCATTTGTAGATCAAGCTGGGATCCAGAGACTGATAGAGGGCCTCCTGCAATATTCCTGGCCTGAGGAAAGAGGCTCCATTACGACTCCTTTTCCTTCCATGACATATGAGGAGGCGCTGGCTGACTATGGGACTGATAAACCAGACACTCGCTTTGGGATGAAGGTGAGGGTTTCCCCATTGGGAACTTGCAGCTTTTCTTTTCTGTTAGTGTATTAAGAATAATCTTAGTTTTAAATAATGGATACATGATTGGCTGAGGTTCTTAATGCTGTAGTTTACCTAAGGTGTCTGTCCTATCATTGCTGTTTGCACACATAATCATCTGTTGGAGAAGAGATGGATTTTGATTATTTGGTTGTGGGAAAATATATAGATATTTTTAGAACACTTTAAAGATAATGGAGTGTTAGGAAGTAATGTGTCTTGACTGTCTTAAAAACAGAAGCCCATAAGGCATCCACAGATACTGTATGTGCTTTTCTCAACTGCACTCCAAAGCATGCTCCTGGTGAGTGTGCTTCATGAGACAGGCTTCTGAAGATCTTTTCCTGGTAATCAGCTGCAGTTGTGTGCATGCACTGTTTGTATATGAAATAAGAATATTAAGAGGAACAGTGCTAATAAGCAAGAAAGCATCTTATATTTTCCTAGAAATTAATTTGGAGGGTTTCTTTTTCAGTATGCAGCTCTCTACTGTCATCCATCTCAGCCTTGGCTTTTCCCAGCTGTCTTGCATTTCTGTTTCTGCAGTGTTCAGCTTCTTAATGGTTATTCCAGCTTGGCCCCATTCATTTCTTTGTGAACCATTTGATTTCAATGAACAAAGAAATTATATCCCAGGGAATGATGTTGAAGGTGTTAAGACACGGGTGGAGGATATTTGGTTCATGTTGATACCTCTGCTGATTTTTCCTGTGATCTCTTCTTTCTCAGATAGTGGATATCAGTGATTTTTTACGAAGATCAGACATTCGGTTTGTGCAGAATGCACTCAGTTACCCAAACGGCACTGTCAAAGCCATTTGTATCCCTCAGGGAGTGGTAAGTGATGCTTTTACATACTGCGTATGGTTTATGTGAAATAAATAAAATACCAATTTGAGTTCCCTTGTTGGTAAGGAAATGTTCCTTGCTATTACTGGGGGAGTAGTGCCCTTCAGGGAACTTGGGATTTGTTGTGATTGACGTCAGCTTGGGCTTAGTGGTGTTAGAAGAGGGGAATGGAGACGATCAGGTGATGCGAAGAATATATTGTCCTCAGGAAGTGGCAGAAGAAAACAGAGCTGCAAGGTCCCTTGAGGATAGTGAAGCCCCTCAGGGCATCAGCTTGTTTTTGTCAAGGATGGCTTCTGGAGTGAATCTCAATAATAAATTGTGCCCTGTGGCAAGAGATTTGAAATAGAGCCAGGTATGGCACAGCTCTGTTCTGGACCAGTGAGAGAAAGGCCAGGTGGTTACAAGCCCTCCTCATGTTTGCTTTTGCTGCATTTGTGGGCACAACTCATGTTGTGTAATGAGAACGTCACAAACCAAATACAAGGCTGACAACAGATATAGAAGATTGACACAGCCGTGTATTTTTGGCAGGGAAGCAGATTTAATTCTGGCTGTGGTCATCTTTGCAGCTTGGGCAGTATGGAAAGAAAAATCCCCTAAACAGTGAGTTTTATTTGGGGAACAGGACTTTGACTATTCTCTTGGGATTCCTTTAATTTTGGCACAGAACACAAGTTACCAGCTTCCCATGAGAGGGCACTAAGGTGTGAGCAAAACAAAAGTGGTCTCTTGAGCCTCTCTAACCATTAGAGTAGCTGAAAAAAAAAATCAAGATCTTGACGCAGGTTCTCATTTACTGCATTTCTTTGTGTGGGAGTCAGTCCAGTTGGTTTCGCTCTGTTCCTACAAATTGAGGAATCGTCAAACCTTCCCCATCAACAATGTGGTGTTCTAACCTTGTTCCTGCACACTGGAGGCAGTTAGTTGACATAATCTAGCTCTGACCAGTTACATCTGATCTGTGAGTAGAGAGAAAAACTGCAGCCAGATGTACAGCCTAGAGGGGCTTTTCCTGAAAGGATCCCTTGGAGAAGATGCCCAGCTGCAACCTAGTGCTGTGAGCCCTGTCCTGTTCCACAGCCCTCATGAGAACTTGTACTAAAAACAAAAGAACTTTGAGAAGCTTGGACACAGCTCAGTCAGTAGATTTGAATCCTGGTTAGGCTTTCCATAGATTTTGCTGACGTTTAATGTGTCTTCTCTTGCTCTTTCCCCAGAGGTATCTTAAAAATAAAGACTTGGAGTCATTAAAGGAGTCTGCAAAGTCCCAGTGTAACCAGGTGAGACAAACACTGCTGAGGCATTGGAAGCAGTGAATGACTGAGTGTGTATTAAGGCACTTGCAGGCAGAGGAAGGTACAAGAGCAGTTTTTAAAAGCTGAGAGTCAGTGCCTGAGCATGTGATGCTTTAAGACAAGAGAGGGCAGCATTGGACTGAATGTACTCTTATCTTTCTTCAGGAAATCATGGAAATTATCTGCAGGCCTGATGGAAGCTTGAAGTCTCTGCTTACAAAGTTTCTTGGTGAGAAGCAGCAGGCAGAGCTTATCCAAGCACTGAACTTGCAGGTCGATGATGTGGTACTGCTGGCAGCTGGTGAACACAAGCAAGTGGTAGGAAGCATTTCTTGGGTGGCTGAGTTGAATGTTGCTGATGATAGCTTTGATGTTATCTGGCCTTATTCTAATTCTTCTTATTATTAAAATAGGTCATCATCTAATTCTGTCTTTCTCTGAAGCTGCAGCAACAGCAAATAATGCCTGAAATATAGCTATCACTTTTATTTCCCCCAGTCAAATTCTGGGAAGAACTCATAACTGAAATGAAGGCTGGAATATAAAACAGGAACAAATTAGTGCCTCCTTTTCTCTCACCATAACTTCATTTTTAAAGTATCAAACAGAGTTTGGAAAACAAAGTCAACTAGGTAATTTTGTCTCCCATAAGCAGATGATTTGTGAAGCACAGCTGCTTCTTAGCAGCAATGACGGGGGATTCTGTCTACCCTACTCTATATTCTTTCCAGCAGATGCTGCCTTCCAAGTATTGGTTTGTGACAAGGTGTCATGCTTTGCTTGATAGCCAAAATGTTATCATGTTCTCTGTCAATGTCTTCATTTTGCTGTCTACAAAGTGCAGATCTTCCCTGTGCTGCCCTGGTTAATCTGTATTGTGTAGAGCTTGAGGTTAGTCTAGGTGAGTCCTGTGAGGATGGAACATTTGGAAGGTAATGAGCTTTCTAGCTCCTTACTCAACTTTCTTTGCCAAACCCTGGAGCTGCTGCTGCCTGAGCACGAAGCTATATATCTTTTAGGAGACAAGGCAAAAGTATTTAAGGCAACAATACATTACAACTGATGCTGTCTCTGATGCTACCTTTATGAAACACTCTCCCTGGTCAGTGTTTGAGTGACTTCCCTGTTAGTGAAATTGCCCCATCTCATTCTCTCCCTTCTCTTTTGCAGTGCTTTGCATTAGGAAGCCTAAGGTTGGAGAGTGCTGACCTTCTGGAGGCAGCTGGGCTGGTGCTCCGTGATCCTAGGACTTTTCACTTTCTGTGGGTGGTGGATTTTCCACTTTTCCTCCCCAAGGAAGAGAATCCCACTGAACTGGAATCTGCTCATCACCCCTTCACTGCCCCTCATCCTTCAGATACCAGCCTCCTCTATTCTGATCCCACAAAGGTAACTGAGTTCACGCCTGCCCTGCTGGCTCTTTTACAGCTGCGTGTCCTGGAAAACTGGGAGAGTAGCCTCTGTTTTTACTGTAGAAAGGGATGTTGTTTCATGGAACTGACTGCATGTTGTATGCATCTGTTTGGAAGAGATGGCTGCCAGATTACTCTGAGTGGCAAATATCCATGTGTGCCCCTGACAAAAGAAGCTTAAAGGAAACAGTCGCTTGAGGGGAGGAGTCTTATATATTTGGCCCATCCCATGTTGCTTCAGGTTTTGATCAACTTTGATCAGCTCTGTCAGCAGCAGTCCAGGCCTCCTGTAGGACTGGTACCTGAACTGCAAAGTACCACTGAGAGACCAGTACTGTAGTACGTCATGGCTTCAGTTCCCAGTGTCTTTGCTGTCTGCGTGCAGGTTGGTGTTAAATGCAGCTGTGCCCCAGCCTTGCCAAGGTGCTCGTTCTTTTCTTTCTGCAGGTCCGTAGCCAGCACTATGACCTTGTGCTGAATGGCAGTGAAGTTGGAGGTGGCTCCATCAGAATTCATAGTGCAGAACAACAGCGTTTTGTGCTGGAGAAAGTGCTGAAGGTAACAGCTACAGATGTCTCTTAACGTCCTCTCAGAGATTTAAATGACTACTTAATTTAAATAGCTGCTTCATATTCTGAAAGAAACACTCGTGTGCTTCTTAGAGAAATGTAACCCTAGCCCTGAGTGATGCATGATTTCATCATACCTTCATCTTATGTTGCTAGTAGGAAAAGCATTGTTTACCCAGTGACGCTTGTTATGTAATTTTGCAGGAGGACTCTCAGGTGCTTTTCCATCTGCTTGAGGCTTTGGAGTTTGGAGCTCCGCCTCATGGAGGAATTGCTTTAGGTGAGTGCTCTGTAGCTCTCCAGGATGTAGATCTCTTGTGAGGTTTTTTTTGGGCATGTTAGATCACAGGATCCCTCACGCTTGTTATCAAAAGGCTTGTGTCCTCCTGAAAGAGAGGGCTGTTCTGGTGTGGCTGTTTGGCACCACCACCATGGTAAACTGTGGGATTACACAGTGCTTCTATCTCTGTAGCTGCTTTGTAGAAGAAAACAGAGGTTTTGTCACCAAGTGCAGAACGTTTTGGTGTTCCTCCCCAGTGTCATAGCGTGATTTAGTTCTTATGCAAGGGCCAAATCAATATTGGTGGCTGTAAGGATGTTCCTTATACACTGTTACACAAACAGCATATTCATTAAGATTAGGTTATCATCTTTATTCTCATTCCTGCACAGTGAGAACAGGATCTCTCTACTGCATGCCTAGAGGCTTGTGACAGCATGGTACTTTTTGTGCCCTGGGTCACAGCCACAACCTTGCCATCTGCTTCAGTCTCACTTCCCTTCTTCCTTATCTGTTTTGCTCACTAAATCAGATACTGTCAGATTTTAGCTTTTTTTCTGGAATCTTGCAAGTTTGTGTTTTTTTCTTTTCTTTTTTTTTATTTTTTTTTTTAAAAACACCCCAAACTCCACCAAAACAAACAATAAAAAAACACACAAAAAAGTAGTTTTCCAGTGGTTTTCCAGTGTTATTTCCCTCCATCCAATCATGCAGAGGCTGTTGCTCTTTCTGAATTCCTCCTGGTGGTAATAGTTCAGAACTGGCTGATCAAGGGCTTTGTTTGAGCAGTTGGGCAGAGCCCTGACAATGTTCCTGCCACTTAGCTGGTTTTCTTATGTGGTCTTTGCAAAGGCACTGTGTCTGTCTTGCAGTCCTTGATGTGTTGCAGAACTTTCTGTAATATTGAAAAGCTTTATTTTGCTAGGTATTTCTGTTCTTCAGACAAGTCTATTTCTCTGCTATGGGTTGAGATTAATTTTTTCCCCTTACTTGCTTCAGTTTTATTCTTCAAACTCAGGAATATTATCTACTTCATCTTTGTTTTCTTTTTCTGAATTTGAGAAAGCAATGTAGAGCTGTAACTCAAGTATTTCACCAATTTGTTTTTTGCCTCTAGGACTTGACAGACTGATCTCTCTCATTGTTGACGCTCCAAGTATCCGCGATGTCATTGCTTTTCCTAAATCCTTCAGGGGACGGGACCTGATGGGCGATGCTCCAGACTATGTTACTCCTGAAGAATTAGAGCCATATCACATCCAGGTTTCCTGGCCTCTTGCAGAAATAGAGGTAAAGAAGAACTGACTTGCAACCAGCGATGTAAGCTGATCTGTTCAACCAGAAGTGGTTACAGCTTCTAAATACTGGAATTCAGTTCAGAAAACATCAACTGTTACGGGAGGGTGAGGAGCAGTACCAGCCTCACTGCACCATGGCAGTTTCAGGATGGAATGGGGAACAGATATGAGGGCTCCTGATGGGAATTCACCTTTGAGTTGGTAATGGGAAGGTGAAGTACAAAAGCAGAAGAAAATAACATTATTTTAGCATAGGGTATTAAGATTGTTGGCTTTGGGGTGTCATACTGGAGTGATGATGGGATCTGTATTTTCACTCCCCACATGTAAAGTATTTATTCTCCTATCTGGAAGAGATAGTGTCAGCTTCACTGGTAGGATGGTTTATACTCCTGATGATCATCAAATTTGTTCGCTGAGGACTGGTACAATAAAGCAGTGCTGTGCTGGGCCAAGAGCTCTGGACACTTCACAGCAAACTTCAGTGCTGCCAGCAGCTTGTCTCATGTTCATCATGATCATGCAGAACTTGCCATGGGGTGTTCATATTCAGCTGTGTTCTCCCTTCAAAGAGCAGGAGAGAGGTGTTCATGACATGGGAACAGTTGTCCTAGTAATACTCGTCAAAAGAGTGGCGATTTGTCTTTGGGGCCTGTGGTCCTGGTGCTTTTCAGCACGCTAATTCTAAAGTTTGTATGTTTGTAATAAAATTTATCTGTGGTTTTGACTGAGCTTGGCTTTGAGCTTTCTCTGCAAGAGCAAGTTGCCAGTTTTTCTTTGTGACCCCTGATTCCTTCAGGAGATGACAAGAAATCTGTGACAGCATGGCAGAGTTACCAGTCTTCTGTGAATTCTGCCTGGTCCTGCAGACCTGCTGCTAGAGTGGTGAGTGATGCAGCAGCAAGTTCCTCACAAGTAACTGTTCATTTCTGTCCCACACTGGAGCAGCCACAGTGCAGGAGCAGCTCTGTACTGAGTAGAGCATGGCCTCTAGCAGCATTCTACCAGACCAAGCTGCTTGTCTCTGCTCTGTCGTGTATAGAGTCCTCTGCAGAGACACTGCAGTAGGTGTTCTTAACTGTGGGTAGGTTGGAGAAAGCAGAGAATTGATGGGAGGAAAGGAGGAAGGTGAAGAAGCTGAGGAAAGGAGGAAGGTGAAGAAGCTGAGGAAAAGAGAAGGAAGAGATTACCTGAGTAAGCCAGGAAGATGGTGCAAAGGAGGAAAAGGGAGACCTGCTGTGTCCCTGCTGGGAAGGACAGCAGAAGGTGTCTGCCAGAAGTGCATGAGGACAGAAGGAAGACTGCAATTCTTGTCTTATCAGATGATTCTCAGCTCTAGCCTTCGAGAGGAGGTCCTGTGCTGCAGATTCTAACAGATTCTGGGCTGCTTCAAAGGTTATCAACTAATGCAGGCTGCACATTGTGGGATAACATTACATGGGTGTTGTACACTGTTGGCTTTTTTAAAATACTGGGCTGTCCTGTTGATAGGAACAGTAAGAGAGGTGGCTCTTCTCCTTAAGCTTGGTTTATTTGGAGTACTTTATACAGGCTAAAAATATCATCCATAGACAAGATAACAGTAGAGCTGACTTGCTGCTGCTTTGCAGATTATGAGATGATGGAGTTATGTGTGTAAAAGAAAACAAGTCCTTTCTTATGTTATGATTGTTATTAGCAGTCTTGGAGCATGGTTAAATACCATTAAAAAAAAAAAACAGTCTTGGATTTGTATTCACATTAATTCTAACCAAACACTGTGAATTCCATAGTTTTTTTTCATTGTATGGACTATTAATTCTTACCTTGAAATCACCTTTGTTTTACTTTTTTTTTTTTCCTGCATAGAAGCTATCAGTAATGGAGTGAGGATGACTTTTCAGAGAGACGCTGGGCTGAAAATTGGATCCCTAAGCAGATCCATGTTAACACCAATTTTTTAGTTGTTTTTGCGGGGAGGAGAGTCACCTTGTGAGAGTTTTAACAGATACTTTTGTTCTCTTAACTTGTAAGTGGCCATGACAAGGTTATGTGTTATATTCAGACTGCTTTTTTAGAGGTGGTTGTATTTGGTTATTTAGTTTCTTTACTGGTAGTGACATTAAGATTTGCGTGAAATTTGCTTGCGGATCATCTGTGTTCCTACAGTAGGGATATCAGAGGCTTGTTTGAGGACATGGAATCAGAGAAAATAACAGTTATTCTGAAAAGCTCTTTACTCCCCCCAGACTTTTATTTATAGTAACTGTAAACATAATGTGCTGAACCTTTTTTTCAGTTGTGAAATACTCTATCATTTAGTTAGTTACTGTTTGCAAAGGCAAATGTTGTTTACATCTGAAGAGACTCAGTTCTTTAAATTAGGATTATTATCAAGCGTTCAAAGGGTAACTGATGCTCTAAGAGGCTTAGGCAGAAATGTGACACTACCTGGAACATTCTTCTTGAGAGCACTTGTTAAAACACGTGAGCAAGCTGTCTCTGAGGCATCCACATCCCGCTTTCTTGTGCAAGCTGTTTACCCACTGCTGTATTAAGGACTCCCTGCAGTTACAAGCGTGTGACACAGCTATGATGAGTTACAGTAAGCAAAATGCAACAGAACATGTCATCTGAGCTGCTGCAGTCCTGCCACAATTAGGTCAGTGGAAGAGATGTGTCCCAAATTTATGGAAGCCATCTGTGCTTGGATTTGTGAATGAAGATGGTTTACAATACAAGTGTGTGAATTTGCCAGAGGTTGTGTGAATGTTGCCACACAGAAGATATTAATTGTTTTGGTTTTTTATAGAGCATTGTGTAAGGTTTCGCTTGGGCTTCTGGAAGCCTGATCTACAGAAAGTCCTTTTTAAACAGCAGTTGAGTTGGCATACTTGGCCGTATGTTTTGGTAGAACCTAGAGAGACATTACAAAGAAAGACCTGGAAATAAGGGGCAGTCATATTGCAGACCAATGTCTCATGTTTGCTGGAGAAAAGCTGCTGGCCTGTGATCCTGAAAATACATGTTAGACTTCTACTTCAGCACAATGTCCATCAGAAACACCAGCTGAAAATGAGCTACAGCATAACCACAAGCTGCAAGCTTTCCCAGAGCTCTCATTGCCTCTACCTTTTTTTTCCTGTATGAGACAAACCTGTGGGGAAATGTTGCCACATCAGCTATGCTGGAAGATGCAAAGTCCTGGACTCCTCTGTTAAGAGTTAATCTTTAAGTAATCTTTTCTTAGAGGTGTGGTGTGTAAGGAAAAGGTTGGTGAATCTATATTGCTCCCTGGTTTGTGTTGGTTGGTGTTGGGTGTGTGTTTTTTTCCTTCCCCATGGAGCAGAGGTTTCGAGGCCTAAGCCAAGCTAGCTGTGTAAATCTGTTCAACTTGACAAGAGTCCAAGGTCCTTGGGGGTGTCTTTATACTATTCCTTTTTGTTCAAAGAGCAAGCAGAAATACAATCAGTATACACAAAGCTCCTCCCGGTGCTGGAGGTACTCATGAGACTTGGCTGTTACCAGAACTGCTCAGACTCCTGTGCTGCAGTATGTATGCACATAAAATTAGTAACAAACCCTATGTTGTCACTATCTCCAGATTCCTGCAGTGATTTCCACATGTTGTTGTGTCTCCTCTGCTCTTTCTTTAACCTTTTTTCAGTGTGTGTGTATACAGTATGGACAAGAGAATTACCCAGCCTTTGGGTACTCTACCCCGGAGCACTTGGCTTTTTTGGGAATAGAATTACCAGCTGGACACAGGTGCTGCCTGAGGATTTGGTTTGAGTCTTTGCTGGTACGGATCAGCTTGTAATGGTTGACCGTGCTCCCTGACATTGTCTTCTCAACTCCGGAGAACTTAATGACTAGCACGCATAGCATGTGAACGTTAGGGTAGGGGACAGGATTGTACAAGGGGTGCTCTTGCAGAAATGAGGGTTGTATGTAAGGCCTCTGTACTCCTTTAACCCTGCCAGCTTGCTGATTTTCTTCTGTTAGATCTGAACAAAACACTGGTAAGATGGAGAGACAGTTTATTCCCCACCTCTAGGAGAACTGGCTCAGCATATGTTTCAATAGATTTGACTGCAACAACCCTCTAGGAAGCTTATCCTACCCTTTTGTAACATCAGAGATACATTTCTGGTGTGTTTCAGTATTTTTGTTCCCTTTCCAGAACACGAATGCAGGATGCTGGTGGGATTGTCAGCAGCCAATGTGTGTGTGGTGTGTTTTTTTTTTTTCTTGAAATGCTTCCAAACCTATCCAGAATAGTTCAAGTTAGGCCAAGCTGGGGAGAGATTGATTTCAACCATCCCAGATGGCTTGGGTGAGCTTGGCTGCAAGGGGTTTGTACAAACTGCCATAAAGACAGGAACTGTATTTGGAACCCAAACTGGAGTTTAACCCTATGTTGCTCTTGTGTCTCTCTCTTTAGAGTTAGCTGAATTACAACATTGCAACAGCTTTGTGTCATCCTATGCTGCAGATACCCAGAGGTTCAGGGTGCTGATTAATTCCCAGTTCCGTTGAATACAGACCGCTGCTATACGAAAAGATTATAGTTTGTAAAGAATCAGCAGAAATTTGCAAAGAATGCTTTCAGCTGCTTGCAGCTGGGTTTGTGCCCACTATTGTACCCCACGGGGAAAAGGGGAGAGCTGCTGCTCTGCATCATCGCTCTCCTGCAGCCTGAGTCTGACAGAAGGACATTTGTGTATACTTTGCTTCATCTTGGAGAGTGTGGAGACCTTAGTGCAGAGCTGATGTGAGGATACCCAGTGCTGTGGAAGCCAGGGGACATTACTTAGGTGTACAAAACTATTCCTGCAGCTGGATCATATGGTAGACCCAGTGTTGCTGCATGTGAGCAGGAGGTGGTGCTTTGTACACTTGAGTGGCAAACCTCCAACCCCAGGAAGGCATGACTCTGCTGCTCTGTATTTCCCAGGCATCTCTCACTGGGAGGAATGGAGCAGGTATGGCGTCGGGTGATGCTGCACTGATGTCCAGCATCTGGTGAACACAGTCTCCCCCCCCCTCCCCTGCATTTTTTATACCTTGAGCTGCTTGCACAATGATGTGTTTTGACCACGCTTGCTCACTGTTAGTGCAGGTAACCAGCCTTCTCGTGAGGATGCTCAGTACGCTCTTTGGCCCGGGTATTAACAGCAGCAGAACAGGCATAGACAACTGACAGCCACCGAAATGGTACCAGATGGAAATCCCCTGTGTAAGCTTCCCATGACTTCACCTCTAAATGTCTGTGCTTGTATTTTAGGCTTGTGTTCTAGTTTGTTGTTATTT